CATCCTTCACCAGGTGGGACAGGGCTAGGCCCCTTCATGGCCAGGCACAGTGCATATCCGTCACTTGATCTCTCAAATTGTTCATTTGTGGTTACCATATCCCCCCCCCCCCATGATTCCTGGAAATTTAGTACCCACAGTGATGTAACAACTTCAAAGAAACTTCTGGTCTTTCTTTCTCTATCCACTAATTTAATTTCTTGTCAGCTAGTGCAGACCACATAGTAAAGTACTGTTGAAAATACTGGGATTTTAGGTGGTTTCTCCATGAAAAGCAAGTTGATACACCCACTGTCATAGCCACAACTGTATGAGAGTCCACTTATTAAAAAGGCACACAAACAAGAAGTTTAAAGGTTAAAACATAAACAAGCCTAGCATTACCTCAACTCTTATGGATTTCATCAGTGTATGGATACAGGGCTAATCTATTTACATTAATAAAATGGTATGTGAATGCATAAAGTCAGTTCCCAATGTTCTGATCCATTCTTACAGCATTTTCTCATATTCAAAAGTGACCTAGAAGCACAGTAATTTATTGTAAAAGCATCTGTACGATGCAGTGGTAGAATATCATAGATGATTGCTTATGTATATGCTTATAAAAGCTGATTGTTATATTATTTGTATGATTGTAGTAGTTACTGTTTGACAAAAATTAAGAAAGGAACTGCTCACATACTGTTGCCTCTCCAGCAACATGTTATAGGGATGTCAGCCAGTGGCTGGCAAGGGACAGGAGGGTGGGGACATGGGGTGGCAGTGGCATTATGTCACTTCTAGGGAAAACCCATATAGCCTCCAGTGATTCCTAGAGAAGCATGGTATCACATATGTGTTTTCCAGGGAAGCAATATAACAGTGTCGCACCAACAGAATCAACCACTTGGCTAGCTTCCCATTCTTCAGCTCCCAAGGCCCATAGGAGCCATTCTAAACTGCCAGTTAAAAAAGCCAAAGAGACGCTGAACTGCCATGTAAAGACGCCAGTTTTGATTCCATCTGGACAAGCAGTAAGAACTTCTGCTTCCTTGGCTGCTGTGACGGACTGCACTTTTAAAAAGCCTAGAAGTGCTGTACAAACAGGTAAAGGACTGTGAAGTGTTAATTCTTCACAGAGCCTTGAGTGACAGGCTGCTCCAAGCAATCTGATTGGTTAGCATCAGCTGAGCAGAAAAAGTCTTGAGAGAGCTGCATGCAGAGGAGAAATTCAGTCTGATTTGTGCCTTGACTGAATTGAGTCTGATTTCAGCCCTAGCTGAGAAGAGTCAAGTACTGACAGTTCTGGAATTCAGCCCTGACTGAGAGCAGCTTAACACAGACAAGAGAACTGGGGAATAGTTGGCAAGGAAGTTTGGGAAATAGATGAAGACTCCCATTCAGGCCAAGGAAAGGGAATCGATCTTCTAGAGAGAGAAGAATTTCCCTACCCAGTCAAACAGGCAGTTAGCTCTGAAGTATGCAGAGATAGTTAGAAACTGCCTTTTGAGACTTTAAGAGTCAGTTAAAAACTCAAGATGAGTACTGTTGTTTCAAGAGAAGGGGTTTGGGTACTGGAAAGAGTATACCAAAGAGTGTACCAGCCTTCTGAAAACCAAGAGAGAGAATACTCAAAGAAAGTGTACTGAAGTGTTTGGAAAAAACACTGGAACAAAAGCCTCTCATCATAAAGATTTAAGTCACTGTGAAAAACTTAAGAAACTCTCATTAGCCTGAAACATAAGAACTAAAGTCTGTGCATGTACTGGTTTTACCTCAGAAATTTCAACCCCTGATTTCACCTGACCTTTCCCCTCTATGTTAAATAAAATATTTTGTTATTTTGGAATTTCAAAATGCCTCAAGTTCATTTAAGTTGTTTAAGTTAAAGCAGGCTCCTGATCCTTCCCTTAGATTCCCTTAGATTCCTGGGCTGAGCTAACAGCTGAAATATCATACTGTGACAGGATGGGATAGCCAGAGTTCTTCAGCAAAAAGAGAACACATTACTAGGGTGGCTCAGTCAGTAAAGGGGAAGAAAAACGGAGAGAAGTGGACAGGCCATCATAGCTGCTCACCTGCCTGAGGATCACAGAGTTACCTTTCTGCCCTCTACGAACAGCCTTTTCCCACCTGGGAGCTCATGAAACCAAAATTCTCTCGGGGCAAAATAAAGTTTGAAGTTCTATTTTCTCCTCCAAAGACATCCAAGAAATATTCTCACCATCATCATCTGGCATCTTTCTTGGTTCCTCATCCAATGATTCTGAATGCACACTCTTAATTTTGGGTATCTGAAGGCATCATTGTTTTATTTGAACAAATAGTTTGTTTTTTTTGCAGGGGTTTACATCTTTTCTTATATTATGTGGGTCCTAGGTGAGGAAAGTACTCTCCAGATACATTATAATTGCCATTTGGTGCTCTAGCCAGTATCACCTGTTCATTGCTGACTACCACCTGTTCCTGTTCCACAGGAGCCCAAACTTCTTCTGCAGCATCTCTTCAGCGAGTCTCACTTGATGAAATCTGCAAGGCTGCCACATGGTTCTCTGCTTCCACTTTTGTATGCCACTACTCTGTGGACATAAATTCCAGGGGTGATTCTGTGGCTGGGAAAGCAGTTTATCATTTGAGAGCATCACACCCATGTCCTTGGTAACTGAGCCTGCTATTTTCCCAATATGAGACTGCACAGAGGGATTTAACAATGAAAACAGGGTTTCACATACCTGTTACTGTTGTTCATTGAGAGACTTTTGTGCAGGCTTACATACCCTCTCTCCTGGCCCCACTTTGACTCTCCACAGTTTTTTCCTACAATGTGGGCTCCTTTGGTGTCTTTGGAGAACTAAGGGGCACTGCCTCCCCCAATACTACATGACAACTTCACCAAATGGCCGGGGGTGGGGATTGCCCTATAAGCCTTAGAAAGCTCTAGAAGTCATTGAATCTCATATCTGTGGCTGGCCAGCACCTCACAGAAGAGTCTTGATGAACAAGTTACAGGTAAGTGCAATCCTCTTTTCCTTATCCATCTCTCTGAATCCACAGATGTACAAACAATGGTTCCTCACTGCGTACAGTTATATTTATTTATTTATCTATCTATCAAATTTATATCCTGCCCTCCCTGCCAGAGCAGGCTCAGGGTGGCTTACATAAAAGGTTAAAACACATAAATTATAGTCATAAATAGCCAGTTCATACCAGTAAGGGGGTTCATACCGGTAAGGTGGGATACAAATTGAAAGCTAATAAATATAAATAATATAAATAAAACCTTCTAAAACAATCCATTATCATAAAGTGCTAGTAAACATTTGGTCTGATAGCAATAATGTTATTTAACGATGGCAGCAACTATTTGGTGACTGTATATGAGAAGGTGACTGTATTGTCACTTTTATTTGTAAGAATTCATAACTTTCCCCTTGAAATTTGCAAAGCCTGATACAAAATACACTGCAGAAGGGAGTTATTCAGAAACTATTCTTTTTAGATTTTTTTCTTTTTAACAGCAAGTGAACAAAAGAATATTTATTTGAATTAATGTTAGTGTTTAGGAAGTTGACATTGGAAGGATGTGAATTGCTAACTAGTGCTGACCCGTTGCTTTGAGGGGGAGTCGGTTTTTTGAAGTTGTGAGTAGAAACACACCATGGGTTGTTGTCCTGCAGAGGCAGGTGGGTATAGCACATGTTTGGACAAATATCCCATTATTTCAAGCAGAGACAGAAAGACAGAGCATTCCCATAACTTTTCAACTGGCGCTGTTCTTATCAACATTCAAAATTTCTGGATCACATTTTAAAATAGTTGTTAACGTTTTGTACCAAAAACTTCCATTGGTTTTAGTGCCGCAGGACTTCAACTGTAGCATATGTTCCTACCCTGCTCTTTTCTGATAACATAACTAGCTCTGAGCTAACATGCCATCTTTTTGTATGAAGCACAGCAGATGGGAAAGAGCATCATAATGTGATAGTAATCTTGAGGGTAGATTACTATGGTGTGCTCTACATGGGGCTGCCCTTAAAGATGATCCAGAAATTTCAGCTGGTGGAAAGTACAGCCATCCATCTGATATCAGGCACTGACCACTGGGACTATTGTAATCCCTGTACTTATTTTGAACTATGTGTTTTAATTAAAATTAATATTTTTGTATTTTATTTATGTTGTCACCCACCTGTTTCAAGAGAGAGGCAAGGTATACAAATAGCCTAAATAAATAAAATATATAGTCCTGCGTGGTTACTGTTTCTACTCAGAAACAAACCATCAGTGTGTGAAACTCTATTCCTCTTCTATGAAGGGATATGTGATTGATACTGAAACTGTTTGAGAGGGAAAATTAAAGCCCACTCAGTAGTGTTGTGGCCCCAGTCTGAACTGAGAAGCTCCAGTCTGAACGGAGGGGCCCCTTTAGTCATCTACCAAAATATAGGAGATTCTACTCATCAGTTATGTAGGTCACAAGTTCACCTTCAGTCTGGCAGGAAGCATCTGTTGGGTAAGGAGTACAAACCCTGAGAACATAATCCCAGTTGGATAGATTTTGTGAAATGTGATAAAGAGCATTGGAGAGAAATCCCAGAAATAAAGAGAAAATGAATTTCAGCTAGAATAGAGTTGGGGGAATTCACCCATCCCTAATGAACATTATTCAGTAAATGTCTCGAGATGGTCAGATCAAAGCATACATACAGTGCTAGTCACAGTTCATAATAAGGTTGCAAAAACAGCAAAATTGGAAACGCACACACTCACTGTGTGTTCTAGGGACCCAAGCTTTGGAAAGCTACAGTAGCACCACTGAGATCAGTTCAGTGCAGTCCTTAATAAATTAGGTCAGTTTAGTAGAAGTATTCAATTTCTGCCTGGCTTTTGCATGAAGCTATTTAGCCTGTTATTGAAAACAATCAATACATGTCTCGGTATTTTTGGATGCTGTTACCCTTTGCTGTGATCTAAGAACAGCACTGAATCAATACTTTCCTTTATCCTTTAAACAGGTTGAACCGCTGATACAGAAGGATCACGAGAGTCTGGTGCATCACATCTTACTCTATCAATGTAGCAGCGCTCTGAATGACAGCATACTGGACTACGGTCATGAGTGCTATCATCCGAACATGCCGGAGTCTTTCCTTACATGTGAAACAGTAATTTTTGCTTGGGCCATTGGAGGAGAGGTAGAATAAATAATTATCATGATTCATTTATCAAATTATAATCGTGTTGGATGTTTCTTACCGTTTTTATAAGCTCTGAGGTGGTTCCTTTTGCATTTGACCTATCATTGGTATTATATTGCCAGCTCTCTTCCTTCATTCACCTTAAAGGTAAAGGTAAAGGTTCCCTTGCTCGAAAGCCAGTCGGATCCGACTCTAGGGTTGCGGTGCTCATCTCCGTTTCAAAGCCGAAGAGCCAGCGCTGTCCGAAGACGTTTCCGTGGTCATGTGACCGGCATGACTAAACACCAAGGCGCACGGAACGCTGTTCCCTTCCCACTGAAGTGGTACCTATTTATCTACTTGCAATTTCTTGCTTTCAAACTGCTCGGTTGGCAGGAGCTGGGGCCAGAGACGGGAGCTCACTCCTTCATGCGGCGCACTCGGGTCTTGAACTGCTGAACTACTGACCTTCCACAGCCTGCAGTTCAGCGTCTTAACCACTTGAGCCACCGCAGCTCCTTCATTCACCTTAGTCAGCAGCAGAAAGGGGTGATAATTAGCTATATGGAGTCAGATAGCTATGCTTCCATTGCCACTGCCCAGTTACTTTTTGGTGGAATGATGGGAGATATAAGAATGAGGCCAAAACATTAAAATCTCAAAGAATAAATTAAAATTGCCAAGCTATATATCTACAATGGACACGACTTCTGCAGACTCAGATATTTGTCAGTCTAGTAACGGTTTCTGGTTTGTCCACAAATGCAGAATGAGGAGAGCCGACTCCATAAAATGGGATAATCAAAGGGCCAACTTTATGTTCATTGTTCAAGAAGAATCTGCAGGGCACACAGGTCAAACCCATTCCAGAGCTAATTGCAGGGCAGGAATTGATGGGATGCAGAAGAACAAAAGGGGGGGGGGAATGCCAAGTGATAGATGACTGATTTATTATTCTACGAAGTCCCTACGGGTTTCACCATTTATTCCTTGTCAAGCCTTCTTTAGTGTTTGAGGGAGGTGTGCCACATTCAGACCCCCTAGCTGCAAGGTCTATGGGTCAAGTATAGTGCCCCTCCTCAAGGGCATCCTGTCCCAGGTCCCTGAAGGCACTGCAGCCCCAGCCTTCTGGTCTGAGGGTTACCCCTCCATCCTCCAAACTGATGCCTCAGGATGCTCACCAGTGTTGTACCATATACCAGTGAAGCAACATTCTCCCACAATGCTCTAACATACCCACTATATTTCCTTCAGGGTAGGGTAGGTGAAAAGAAAACCAAGCTAGCTTCCAATTGAGCCAGAGGGGCAAAAAATTCCTATCTGGCCCCCAACTGGGCAACCGGCTTGTGCCTACTCTGAAAACAGAAGGAGGGAGGGTGGGTGCCTCCTTCATTTTCTGTAGACAAAGAAGGAAGGGCCAGCCCAATGCAGGTCCATATATTCTTGGGCTGCCCCCCCAGTCCTTTGTCAGGCCCCTGGCATTAATGTAGAGTGGCTCTCCATTCCCACCAGTTGCAGCCAAACCCCTCTGCCTCCCCCCTACTTTTTCAAAGCGGGGATAGAATGGCCTTGTGTCTATTCTAGGGGATCTGTCATTTTCTTCAGCTGGCATACCAAGACAGAAATAAAGATATGCTTCAAATGAGATCAACATGTTACAGTTACAGAACCTGAGTAACAATGTTTGCATGTTTCAAATTTCAGGGCTTCACATATCCTCCTCATGTTGGTTTATCCATTGGTACAGCAACAGATCCTCAGTATGTGCTTATGGAAGTCCATTATGACAATCCATCGTATCTGGAAGGTACTTTTCTTTGCTGCATTTTAACTTCTAAGCTGTTAAATTTGATAATGTATTTTTGTATCTTCACTATTATATTTGCATATAGATTGCAATATAGTATGTATTAGTATATATTTTCTTGCTTGTTTTTCCAAAGGTGAAATGAATTAGTAGCAGATGGAAGTCAACATTGCTGCTTTAGATCTTCCATGTGAATATCTTAGGACGGTGGTGGTGAACCTATGGCACGGGTGCCAGAAGTGGCACTCAGAGCCCTCTCTGTGGGCACTTGTGCCATCGCCCCAGCCAGGCCCAGACCATCATTAAAGTGTCAAATTCTCTGCCAAATAATTTTAAGTAAATGAAAGCATTTGGAATTGCTTTCCTCACTTTGTTTGGATCATCTTAAATTAACTAAAGTAAAACCTCAGTATTCAGGTTAAATTGCCGTGTTGGCACTTTGCGATAAATAAGTGGGTTTTGAGTCGCAGTTTGGGCACTCGGTCTCTAAAAGGTTCGCCATCACTGTCTTAGGACTTGCACTGGCCCATGTTGAAGTTGTGATGAAGGAAGTTATATGAACTGGGGATATATCAGTTTATATCTGATTAAGGCTGTGCAGTCTGAGTTTAATTTATCAAACCCAGACTAAAAAAAACACACCCTACCTCTATTATATCAATAAGATTTTTCAGTAATTGGTAATATCCAGAAATCATTCCAATTCTGTCTGTTATTCTGGCAACTCTCTGGTTTGAAATTAAAGAAGGTAAGTTGGGAGGAGAGCTGATGAAGCACTGTCTCATAGATTTTAATGACAGAAACATTTACCAACCAAACTGAGCTGATAAATCTGTCTTTCCAAAGTGTTCACATGAATCATATTGTAGGTTCACTGGCTTATGGCAGGATTTGATTTGATTCTATAGAAGGCAGCTGCTCCTGTTTGCACATTGTTTTGCTTCCCAGGACTGTACCTGCTAGGCAGTGGACAAAGTTCTATTGCCACACCTTGGTATACAGGTGGTGCAGTTGTCTGAGAAGAATAGAGGTGATAACCAGGGCTGCTGCTGAGGTGGACTGACATAGGGAAATAATTTGCCCACACACCAAGGGAGTACAGACAGCCCTGCAGAATGAAAGGCAAATGCTGCCCTTGCTTCCCATCCAGATGCCAAGCAGTGTTTGCTGCCTTGTCTAACTCTTCTGTGTGTATATGGTGTCAGCTGAAGACCCCACTCCTTAACCCCTGCCTTTACATTGTAACTAAGATAAAAACAGGTTGTCTGTGTAACCAAACCCTAGAGTGTCCCACCAGCAGGAAGCTCCACAGTTGTATTGGGGGGGGGATGAACATGGCATCCCAGAGAGATTGCCAAAATAGTGTAGCTCTGGACATTTCCCCCCCCCCAAAAAAACAGTGCCATACAGTTGCCATCAAAAGATATACATAAACATAGAGGTATATTTCAATAACACATAAAAACTAGGTTAGAGTCAGTGTAACATTTTGACAGATAGATCTGCCAAAGGTAGTCTTCAAAACTAGAGGAGTAAGGATTACAGATAATATCTTTTACCATTAGGTTTTTATAAAAATGTTTCACATCAGTAACCATTTATGAGATCCTCCTTGCAGGTAGATTATTCTCTTCACTGCTGGTTTTTATTAAATTGTCGTTGTTTTACTTGGTTATTGTTTTATGTTTATGTTGGAAGCCGCCTAGGGAACACTTATAAATCTCTAAATGAATAAGTAATAAATCTTGCACAGTGTTTAAAAGGATCAAACAGAATAAATTATATTAGAAAGGGGAAGAAAATCCAGGGGGAAAGAGCAAAAACTTAATGACTGGAGGTCATTTCTGTAGAACAAAAGATTAGGGTTGCAGGTGTTTGCTATCATGTATTTATTTCTTTTAAGGGCTGTTTCGTTTTTCCCTGCCTGAGTGCTACAGCCTATAAAGAAGGAATGTATAAATAAAATCTTTGTAAATGAACCCATTTCTTGTCACAGCAACTGTTATAGGCACTATCAAATAGATGTCTGTGGCAGATGTGAAACCACATTTCTCATAGCACTCCAAATTGCAGTAGATGACTTACCCAGGGGAAGACCAAGTATTGCAACTTGAATTGAGATATCTTAGCAACAAGCAATATGCTTCCTTGTGATAACTCATGTAGGTGATACCCCACAACTAACAACTGTGCATCTGTTATAAGGAACAACTGCTGGCATGAAAGGCCCATACAGAGACATAAGGATTTTCTGTATAACTTAGAACAGTGCAAAGGTCATCCTGTGCTGCTTAACCACCCTCATGTGACTACACTTTTTTACGACTTTCCTGATTCCTGTGACCTGTTTGACCTATCTTAAGGACAATCCCTCTCTTGTCTTGTTTTCTTGTGTAAAACTTGATGAGTGGGTCCCAAAGCAACTTGAAACTATAGAATATTCTATGCTTATTTGTAGCAGTGTCTGACAATTGCTCTTTTGTTCTTAGGGAAGATGGATAACTCCGGACTGAGGCTATTTTATACTCCAGATTTGAGGAGATACGATGCTGGAGTTATTGAAGCAGGTCTTTGGGTCAGCCTCTTCCACAACATCCCACCAGGCATGCCCGAATTCATGTCAGAGGGTCATTGCACTCTGGAATGCCTGAAAGAAGTATGTCTACCGTCTAGTATAATTAATTGTGATTCTCTGCATAAACTGAAAATAGCATCTTTCAATGGCTTTCTTTGAAGGAAAATGACAAATGCTGGTATAGTTATTCCCATGCAGACATTGGCTTCCCTCGGTGTCCTGGTTAAGAAGATGGGATATGTGCATTTGGGACAGATTTGTCCCACTGTCAGATACAACAGCCACTGTACATATTTTAAAAATGGCATGTGTCTTGGTCAATTTCAACTTCTGTAGCAAAAAAAGGGTCATAAATAAGAGCTTCAGCAGTCAGATTTCTGCAAAGGGCACATATCCTTTGTTTTATTCTAGTCAAAATGATATATATTGTTAATGCTATCAATTGCAAATCCAGGTCAGTGGTCTGCAAAATAATGATTCTAAATTTTAAAAGTCAGTACTCTGGGGATATTTATTTATTTATTTATTTATTTATTGTTTCAATTTATATCCCGCCCTTTCTGCAAGCAGGCTCAGGGCGGCTCACAACAATAAATTCAATACAATCTTAAAATACAGTTAGTCAGGCTTTCTCATCATTACATTCATTTGTGTTTTTGAACTGAGTTTCAAGAGCAATATGAGGAAACCTTCGAAATGGATGTTTTGTTGGATATATGAGTCCTAATTTCATAGACGATAGTGAGTCTATAATGAAAGGTTCAAGAATTTCTGCTTTAAATTTTGCACACATAGACTTTAAAAATTTTTTTAACACAGTGAGCTGAGCAGATTGCTTGCACTTGTCAGTGCATTCCCATACAATTCCTATATATGACTACAGTGGTTATAACTTAATTCAAAGTACAATATTATACATTAGACAGCCCATTACTTTTGTGGGGTGTGTTTTCTGGAGGAAACAGATGATCCTGCACTGAGATGTCCAAATGTGCTTAACTTTGTGATGCAGAATTAGGGTTGCCAGCACTAGATTGGCAAATGCCAGGAGATTTTAAAGGCAGTGCCTGGAGAGGGTGGAGGATGTGATGTCACTTCCAGGAATTTCTCCAAAACTCTGTGGAGACATCCCTTTTGTACTGATAGTCCAAATCTACAGGTAGAATTTAAGGTTTGGGCTTACCTTGATTATACCCAGGGCTATTTTTGGGCAGGAACGCATAGGAACGGAGTTCTGGCTGGCTTCAGAGTTGGCCACGGCCACTACAGCCAAAACCTCTGTGTGCGTGGCTACAGAGGGAAGGCCTGGAGACCGACCGCCCCCCGGCGACTCCGAGGTGGGCCAGCCGGGGGGGAGGGCCTGGAAGAATTGGGGAGATATTTAAATGCCTCTGTGCCTTCCCTGGCCTGTCCAAAGGCCAGCTTGCCTGCGCGAGGCAAGGGAAGGCAGTTTAAACTGCCTTCCCTTCCCTTCAAGGGGGGGCAGGCCAAGGGAAGGTACGGGGGTGTGGTATGTGGCTACATAGGGAAGGCCTGGAGACCGACCACCCCCCGGTGACTCCAAGGTGGGCCAGCCGGGGGGGGAGGGCCTGGAAGAATTGGGGAGGTATTTAAATACCTACGTGCCTTCCCTGGACTGTCCAAGGGCCAGCTTGCCTGGGCGAGGCAAGGGAAGGCAGTTTAAACTGCCTTCCCTTCCCTTCAAGGGGGGGCAGGCCAAGGGAAGGTACGGGGGTGTGGTATAACATGCTAATGAGCTGTGTTGTCAGGGGTGTGGCCTAAAATGCTAATGAGTTTCTGCTGTTTGGTGTGGCCTATTATGCTAATGAGTTCCTGATGGGCTTTTTTTTTTTTACAAAAAAAGTCCTGATTATACCAATTGTTAATGTTTTTGCCAACCTGAATCCCACAAAAAATAAATCATCTAGTCAGGAACTCAAAATTTTACAGAAGGCTTAGGTCTAAGGATTTACATAGATCAACAAATACTTGAAACTGGAGGGTATAAGAGAGTGTGCCTTGATTGGCAGTCCTTTATGAGAACATCTCTCATGCTAATAATTACAGATTATGCCTTTAAACTGAGTTTCAGTTAATAATTTTGATTTCTAGCTCTGCAACATTCTATTACCAGCTTTTTTTGCAGCTAGGCAAATAAATGTTCGGGCTGCAAGAGATAATTTTCACCCTTAATTTTAAATGACTTCACTTCATGAGTGTGTTTCCTCCCTGCTGGGGAAATGAGGGGTGCCTTTGCATGCACCCTTTGCATGCACCCTCCCTTTGCACGCACCCTCAATCCCACTGTGTTCAGTTTTGGGAGGGAAAGAAGCTGGCTTCCCAATTGCATCAAGAGAGAGAGGCAGTTGTTCTAAATCAAAGCTCAATTAATTCCATTACACATTCTTAAGCCAGAAAATATTTTTGTAGCATTTCAGTATTCAACACAGACTATTTCAACACAATACATAAATAGTGCACTTGTAATTCTATAAAGGATATTCTTGGTTGTTCTGCCAAAACCAATGGCAGGGTAATTGATCAGAACAACCAGGAACAAGACTAGAATCAGACGTTAAGTACTCTCTTTCACCTATTGAAGCCAATGTAACTGTCAATCAAGTCTGTGACTAGCATTTGACATATATCTGACATATACAACAAAGTCAGCCCCTTTCTTTCTATCTCTGGGGAAGCTAGTTTCTGATACTCTTATCTACTTAAAATTTGATAGTGACATCTGACTGCTGTAAAATATAAACATTCCCAGTAAGCAAAAGCCATGTGAGTCAAAGTCGTGTCCAGTGAACGCCACAGTGCTCATAGCAGCAGCCTGAAGCTTCCTGGGAGCAGAAACAGAACCAAAGTTTCAACTATATAGGCTAATTACTATAGATATTAAAATATTGTAGGTATACACAGAGGTTTTGCAAAGTTTTAGCAGAGGACTGAGACTCAGCCCAGCCCTAATTCTGCAACAGTTTCCCCACCTCTGAGGCTCCAGTCCTCTGCTTCATTGATATATGGGTAGGGGGGCTGGAGTGAGTCCTGATACAAAGTCCAGCCCAACCACCCATGCCTCCATACGATACAAGACTAAGTTTATCAATTATTATGGATGCTAATAATATTATAGGTCAAATAATGTTTCCCCATAACTCTTGTTCTTGAAATTATAGAGAATTTTACAAACCAAATTTCATGTCAGTCCAAATAAATAATACTTCTAAACTTTTAAACAGGCATTAAAGGAATTCCTACGGGGAAAAAAAAAGGGGGGGGGGGGGAGAGAATGTTTAGAAATGGTTTTCTTCTTCTGTCTTTCTGTTCTTTTCATGCCTATTGTTTCTATATGAAAGAAACAAATGGAAGAAATGTTCTAAATTGGAGCAATGTCATAGAAAGTTTGCAGATATCTGAGAAAAAATAGTTCTCATAGTCCAAGAAACACACACAATTCAGATAAAATTCTTCTTAAGGTTATTTATTTATTTATTATTTGCATTTATATCCCACCCATCCTGCGGGTGGGCTCAGGGCGGGTAACATCATTGAAATAAATACAATTTGAGTTTAAAACATTAAACATTAAAAAACAATAAAACATTATAACAATTAAAACAATGGTACAGCTTGGAAGAGCATAAGGTGGCTATAAGTTGGTTAGTGGTTCAATTATCTGCACTGCATCTTGGGATCTCTGTTTTGCTCCTTCTGGATTTCTGGAATGGGACCCACATAGTCCAGAGTAGATTCAGATCAGCTGGAGATTCTTTTGCCCCCACCCTCAGGGCAAAGTTCAATTGGTAGTCAGGAACAATTGGTAGCTTCTCTCCCTCCCCGAAACTGAACACAGTGGGAATGAGGGTGCATGCAAAGGGTCCTGCATCCCTCATTTCCCCAACACTCCCTAAATATTGACAGTGCTTTACTATTTTGTCATGAAGGAAGTGTAACCTAAAATAAATGGCACTCATACACAAAACAATAATATTTAAACCTAAAAGTAAATTGTCATTGGTTTCCATGAGGTTGACAGTGAAGCACATTGCATATACAAAACAAACAAACACTCATGAGAAATTGGGGGCAGCCTGCAAGATGAAAGAGTATTAGTTGATGAAGTGGGATTAGTGAAGGGATTTATAGCTTGCTTTGCCTAGCAGTTTCATAAATTGTTGAACTTCCACTCCTTTTTGCTAGAAAAATAGCTTGAATGTCAAACATGCTGCATACCTGCCCCTCTGCTACCTCTCCTCTCCTGTAAATGTAGCTTTCCCCTTTCCCCCCAGGGTTTCTGTTTTAGTTTTGGAGATGCTCGCTTTAAGATTATTATTTTATTAAGTTAAAGATCCGAAATGTTGGTCAGTCATTGAATATACCTCTGTGTGTGTGTGTGTGTGTGTGTGTGAATTCTGTGTCTTTATATATGTTTCAGTTGCAGAAGTGGAGCAATTTTTGCCAGTTCTCCTTTCCTATTGCAGATTCCCCATTTACTCTGCTCTGTTCTGGGGAGTCCACTGATGTCTTAGGGCATGATGTCAGTGAGCATGGCAGGTTGCAGCTAGCGGGAAGAATGTGTGAAAATTACCTTACACAAAGTGGGAAACTTAGGTAGGATCTAATTCCATGCATACGTAACTATCTCAAGATATTATGAAGACAAGGATGGGACCTACAAGGTTTAGCTGGGGGAATTGTCATTTCCTCCTCACCTGCCATTTCCTCTTTCACTTCCCTGGCAGCCCCCATAGCCTCTCCCCCATGTCCTGCTTCCTCCTCTCCTTCCCACCCATGAGCCAACCTACCTTTATCTGCTCCCATCTTCAGCTTTCTCTCCTTCCCTTCCCCAGCAGTTTATAATTTTCACTGATATTCCACTTCCCACACTAGTTCCTCTTTCCCTTCCCCTGGCAGCCCTCATATTCTCACCTCTCCCTGCTTTCTTCTCATCTTTTATCCGCCCCCATCTTCAGCTGTATTTATTATTTCACTTATTTATTATTTGTATTCATAGCATACCCTCAGGGCGGGTGAGGGACCCAAATCAGCTTACATCATTCTTCGCAGCTCAATTTTATCCTCACATCAACCCTGTGAGGTAGGTTAGACTATGAATGTGTAACTGCGCCCAGGTCACCCAATGTTTTTATATCGCAGAGTTACAGTTTCAGACTAGGATCTGGGAGACTGTGATTCAAACTTGAGTCTCCTAGATCCTAGTCTGAAACTGTAACCACTACACCACACTGCCTTTTGTGTGGTGGCTGCTGTTGAACAGTAGCTGGGCTTGGGTGAGTCATTGGGTGGTAGCTGAAGGAAGCTTTAACTCTTGAAAGTTTATACCCTGAATATCTTGTTGGTCTTTTCTCAAGTTGTAGAAAGATCCATTATGTCTGTTCATGGCTCCAGTCTCTGGATTTAAGTATCCACAGATGGAACATGATGAAAATTAGAGATATTGATGATGATGCTTGTGTGTGCAAAGAGTCTTACACATACAGGGCTTTTCTTGTAGAAGAAGCCCAGCAGTAACTCATTAGCATAATAGGCCACACCCAACAACAGAAATGCATTAGCATATTAGGCCACACCCCGATAGTACAGCTCATTAGCATATTAGGCCACACCCCCATGCCTTCCCTTTGCTTGCCCGGGCACCCCGCAGCTGCTTCTAGGGCCCCCCTGGCCCGTCTGCCTCGGAGTCACCGTGGGGGGTGGTCACTCTCCACGCCTTCCCTCTGTAGCCACGCACGCAGAGGTTTTGACTGTAGCGGGCGTGACCAGCTCTGAAGCCAGCTGGAACTCCGTTCCTGTGTGTTCCTGCCCAAAAATAGCCCTGTACACATGTATGAATGTATGTCATCTGATATGAAATGTGCACCCAGTGACTCTTTGAAGTAAGCTGATTGCTTTCATTGGTCTTTCCTAGGCCCTGGATGCTGAGAAGCCAAGTGGGATTCACATCTTTGCTGTTCTCCTACATGCACACCTTGCTGGTAGAGCTGTAAGGGTGCGCCATTTCCACAATGGCCATGAGCAGCAGCTTCTGGCATATGATGATGACTTTGACTTCAACTTCCAGGAGTTTCAGTACCTAAAAGAAGAAAGACTCATCTTGCCTGTATGAATATAAATTCTTTACATTTTCACTCATGTTTAGAAGTGAGGTTTAAAGTGAAATTGGTCAGAAATATGCATATTACAAGCAAATATGTACAAAAGTCTTGCCCAGGCTCTCTACTGTCTGTTTTTTACCAAAAAATTGAAATATAGAGAATTAATTTCTGTTGACCATTATGTCTCATGAACTTGTGTGCTGTTTTTGCCATGCAACATCTTTATTTCATTCTTTCTTTTGTTCTTTCTACCCTTCCCCACCCCCTTTTGTTTTGGGTGACACTGCAGTGCCCAGCTACTCTTAACGATATATACTTTCTTTGTACATATTAAGCATTAGTGTTTATTTTTAAAATACACCAAGCCATAGAGCAGTCCACAGTTGTGAGATTTTAAAAAGCTGACAAAATAGGAGATGTGAGGATGAGAAGCGGGGGAATGGGGAGCATCCAGGAAGAAATTAAAAGAGCGAACTCATCACAAACAAAAGAAACAATGAATGGATAAAACTATTGTTCAGAGAAAGGCAGCATCCAGCTGCTAGTTCTTTGGCAGCCATCACTAAATAGGAAGTACAGGTGCCAAATAGCATGAATGTGATTAAGATTGTGCCACCCTGATGAACCTGCTAGTCTTTTTAGCCTAGCAATTAGCAGAGTCTCTGTGTGACATGCAGGTGGTACTTTCAGATTTAGCACTTTTGATAGAGCCTTTACCTTGAAATTCTGTGAGCTGAAAATATAGCTGTGGTTTCCACTTCTGCTCCTATGATCAAGCATACAACAACAGTTCATGGTCCTAACTATGCACTGCGTAATATCTAAGCAATTCCAGTACTTCACCTAATTGACAGCTTTTTATCCTTTAACTGATATGAGGAAAAAAATGCCAGTCCTTTGTTAGCATTTGTTCTTTTGCTCCCTGTGTTACCCCACAAAGCATACTCTAGGGCCGAGTTCAGACTGGCAATTTGAAGTGCTAGGGAGTCATGGCAAAGAAAACCCGGAACATACCTGAAACGGCTTGTTTGCAGTATTCCTGTTCACACTGCAGCGAATGAAGCGAGAGGATACCGTGGAGGAAGCACAGGGGAGCGTTCACACTGTTGGGCTGCCCTGGCGGCCTGTTAGCAGCTGTTTCCACACTGGGTTGCATGCACCCATGCACATGGGCGCATGGGTGCAGCATCAAATAGGGCAGGATCGTGCAGGTGCCAATGGCGCCCGCCCACGGACACAGCCAGTGCCTATCATTAATGACTGCGGGTTGTTCCCGCCTTAGCAGCACTTGCGTTCACACTCAGGGGACCGGAATCAATGCGCTGTATACACGGTTTGCTACCACTTTAACATGGTATCTTTTAAACTCGGGAGGGAAGCGGCACAAGATGGCTTGAGTACAGCTGGGGGACGCCTGAAACATGTGGCTGTGTGAACCCGCCCCTTTAATCCGCTACTGAAACACTTCTCAAACGTTTGCCTGCCAAGCCAAACTGCCACTCTAAACGTAGCCTAGATATCTGCACATCTAGACATCTATGGGGACTTGAAAGAAAGAAAAAATGAACACTACCTCCTAAATTATGTTGATTACTGAATGTCTAGCCCCAAGTGTGTTGTTTGATTGTTAATTGTTTCCAAGTTGCATGTAGCTAAGGTAAACCGTTAATTTTGGATCAAAATCACTTAGTCTAGTTCATTTCATATTCAATAACACCATGCATGTAATGTGGGGAGCACTATTGAAAAGTATAGTGCCCCAAAGTATACAGCTTTGCCATGCCAGGTCTAGAAGAGAGTCGCTGTTGCAACAGTACCAAAAGCTACTTTTACTCAAGCAAGGGACCTCAAAGTAGGATTTAAGACTGGGGTTTGACTTGTGGGCTGTGCTCTGCCGAGAGGGAGTAACTTTGTTTCTTTTTTATCTTATTCTACTTCAGTTTTAGCTCCAGCGCTTTTGTATTTATATTTATTTTGCTTACAGCTCCCTCCCTTCTCCATTTTAGGAGGAGAGGGTGGAACTAAGGGTTTTAAATAGGTGAGTTGGAAGGTGTTGCAGGTGTCACAGCTTTTTAAAAACTATTACCACTACTACTACTACTACTACTGCTGCTGCTGCTGCTGCTGCTGCTGCTTACTTCTATCTTGTTTTTTCTTTTTGTATTTTACTGGGCTGTGGCTCTTTTAGCTTTTAAATTACAACTTCTAATTTTATCTGAAAGAGGTTGACCTTGACAGGCATGAGATGCTGAGCTCAGCTGAGGGTGACAGGAACTCCCCCACACCTCCTTTGGCAAAGCTGCTGCTGCTCATTAGTTTATTAGAGAAACCTTGAGAACGAGACACTATTTCATCCCCTCCTTTCTTCTCTGTTTTATTTACTCATTTGCTCATTTTATCTTTATCCTTATAGAATCATAGAATGTTAGAGTTGGAAGGGACCTTGCAAGTCATCTAGTCCAACCCCCTGCACTCTGCAGGCGCATAGCCGAAAGATAGCCCTACAACATATCCGAAAGATGGTCGTCCATCTGTCCTTTTTGGCAGGGATAATTGTTTTAGTATTTCTGAATTATTTATTTTATCAGTATTTTATAACTATATTAAAAAAAACCCAGGATAATATTTTACAGTGACTGCAGAGGCTGATTTCTGCCGCATATTATACTAAAATACAACCTGATCATAGACTGGACAAGCAACCCTGCCCAGCAGAGTTGTCCTCAAACAGATTGTCTTGGGATGGGAAATCATCTCTGTCCCTAAGTCCTTTCAGCCACAAATATTTAGCCGATGCAGTCGGGGACCCAGCTCTCAAGGAAAAAAATGACTCGCTCAGAATGACTGGGATTAAAATCCCTACTTGCCATGAAATTTATTGGTTGACCTTGGGCCTGTTATTTTGTTATTGGGGCTCAGAAGATGACCGCAGTGGTTGGGTAGTAGGGCTGTCAGGTCCCCCAGGGGGCGGGGGCTTGCCCGCTCAAAGGGCCACCAACCCGCCTGCCTGAATCTGGCCAGCAGGGGGGAACCCCACCCCCCAAATGTCTGGATTGGGCCAATGTGCCTGGTGCGATGACATCATCCCATCGGACACGTCGCCAGGGGGCGCTCTAGCATTCATCCTGAAAACTCTATGGTAACATAGAGTTTTCAGGACAAATGCTAGAGTGTCCCTGGTGACATGCCTAGTGTGATGACATCACTCCTGGGTGACGTCATGGTGGCGTGTGAGTGCGAAAAGTCCTTCTCCCCCCGGTAAACAATCTGGGAACCCTATTGGGTAGGTTCATAAGGGAGCTTCTTCTAGAAGCGTGGGGCAGTATACATGAATCTCCCTGTTGTGTCCACTGACCGCCACCGGCATGGGTGACGTAATCGTGGCGTGTGAGTGCGAAAAGTCCTTCCCCCCCCGGTAAACAATCTGGGAACCCTATTGGGTAGGTTCATAAGGGAGCTTCTTCTAGAAGCGTGGGGCAGTATACATGAATCTCCCTGTTGTGTCCACTGACCGCCACCGGAGGTCAGCGCACATACCTGAGCTTCAGTCCTGGAAGACAATGGGGACTAGGATTCTAGTCCCTCCACAGGGGAACCAATGGGAGCCATGGCGGGGGGATTCAAACCCACCAATGGTGACCAGGGGGCGTCCCCAGGTGTGTATATAGTTGGCCTGCCGGCCGTTTGTCCGCATGTCTTGTTGGGTGCCTAATAAAGCGTGCTATGCACTACGTCGTTGTCTGTCGTCCATCCATGTGGCTACCCACTACATAACAGTGGCGACGAAGGTGGGATTCAGCCGCATCTGAGCCAGGCCGTTGCGAGGGACCAGGAGAACGCGAAGCAGCCGATCTGATGAGCAATCCATCCAGCAGCGAGACCGCTTCTCCCGCAACCCCTCCGACGCGCACGATGGCGACCGCTCCGGGGCTAGGGCTG